TTAGGCACACCACAACCGACTCTCATACATAGCCAACGGCGTTATGTACGGCTTATTATCCCCGACTACAAATCTTAAGGCGGAGCCTGTAGTTGTGGGAGGGGTTTTACCGGCCTATTTATACCCAGACTTACCTCCACTCAGGGCCGACACCGATCCAGACTACCCACCCGCCACACCCCTTAACAAACACTTCCTTGGTGGGCCCTCATTTATTTCAGGCAAACCCGATCGTCGGTTTAGGCACACCACAACCGACTCTCATACATAGCCAACGGCGTTATGTACGGCTTATTATCCCCGACTACAAATATATATTTATTTATACATACATACATAATATATTGTGGTGTTGGTTCTTTGGTTTTCCATGCTCATCTAAACTTGTGGAAAGATCATACATGTATATACACTTTATTGTTGGCCAACCAATCACCTGCCTCCCCACAACATGGAAGGTCCTCTTAGGCACCATAATCTCTGAGATCCATGGGCATATGAGTCAATACATGAGCAATAGACCAGACAAACCAATTTGTGCAAAGCCTGGATTCACTACAAGAAAGCCTATGACACCATGCCACATATGGATACTGTAAAGCATGGCTCAATACAAGGTCAACAAGACCATAATAACCTTCATCAATTCCAGGACAACTACACAAGTGAACATCAAATGTGGCATAAACCAAGGTTATGCACAATTCCTGATGCTATTCTGCATAGGCATCAGCCAGATTATCATGAAACGTGGAGCTACCTTTGATCCTCAACTCTACATGGACAACATTGAGCTGTATGCAAAGGATGATTGGGACAATCACTTATCCACCTAAGATATATAGCAAGGACAACGGAATGTTGATCGGACTAGATAAGTGTGGATGGATGATAGAAGATGATCAGACCTGAAGGAGTTTAAGTGTCAGAAGGCCAAATAGGAGACAGAAAACAAGATATTGTGCTAAACCACACAGTCAGAAGCAATTTTGGGTTACTGAAACCTTGAAAAAAAATGTACTGTATATTCTGGCATATAAGTCAACCCACAAAAAAATTAGAAGTGATATAAAGGTTTAGCTCTATAAGTATTGGGTAAGCCAACCCCCAATATTGTGTGAAATTTTGGGCTTAGGAGAGGCCTTCGGACTTGTATGCTTACGATTTGAGCTCAAGTTAGGCAGCAGACATAAACATGACGCCCAGTTTAATATAAAATTATAAATTTTTAACTTACTGTATCTTGTTTTATTTTATTAAATGATTAAGAACATCAGAGTTTAAACAGCGTGTATGTTACTTTTTTCGCAATAGATGACACGTACGGTAACTCTCCAACCATATCTCTACAACCAGTGTGCTGTGTTTACATATGAATGATACGATACTGCAAGCGGTAATATTATAAAGATAAAGAGATAGGACAAGGATTAAGGCGTTGCATGTATCAATAAAGCATTAGCCTAAGGCCTTTTTTTTTAGTTTTGGCTTTGTATCAACAACTTTATGTTTGGCGTAGTAGTTGACCCTGCATTTTTGGAAGAATATATATATATATATATATATATATTTTTTTTTTTTTTCTTTTACTTAAAATGTTAACTTATACACTGGCATATATGGTTAAGTGGAATACGGTAATTTTCATGAATTTATACACTAGTGACCAAAAATTTGGAAACCTTTTTGGAGAATTTGTAATTATGACGTTTGATGGCTTATAACAATCTTTTTTAGATTATATATCTTTAGAAAAAAAATTATTTCATGTAGACTGTAAAGCAACATAATTGATTTAAAAAATAAAAATAGCATTTTAACAGAATATATACATAAAACCATGATAAAAAGAAGAAGTCCATGGTAAAGTGCATTTCGTAACTTCTAACGGTTCTCGATGGTGTTGAGTTGGGAAAACGTTTGCCAGAATCCCAGTCTTAGAATGGAGTGAACCAACTGTTTTAGTTCATCAAGTGTTGTGAATGTGAAACTAAGATTCTATGATTGCTTCTATCAATTGCCTTTTAATCCTTTTTTGCTTCTGCCAAGTTTTTCACTCTGCTCCACAGATTTTCTATTGGATTCAGCTCAGGGCTTTTACCTGACCATTCTAGCAGCCTAATGTGATTTGTCTGAAACCACTCTTTGTACACAGCAGCAGCACGACATAAGCTGTATCCTGTTGATCTATACATGCTTCGTTATATTGGAAAAGATCCTGTGCCGAAGGCTTCAGTTTTGGGCCAAGTATATCACGGATGGATATTTTGCCATTTACAGTTCCATCAATTGCATAAAATCTGCCCATATTTTCATACAACCCAGATCATAACACTAACTGGATGCTTTACAGTTGCTGTATTCAGGCATTAAATCTTCTTACATTCATTAATCTTATTTGTTACTCTTTTTCCCCATTACTACCAATTAATGATATTCTGGTCTCATCACTCCAGATAACCGTGTCCCATTGTTTCTCGGACCACTTAATATGGTTTTAGCCCATTCTAATGTCTTCTTTGTTTGGGAGATAGAAATGGCTTTCCCCTGGAATTCTAGAATTTAAAGTTTTGAGTCTAACAGTCCTAAAACTCATCTTCTAACTACATTGACACCATTACATAGTTATAAGGCTGAAAAGAGACTTGCATCCATCAAGTTCAGCCTTCCTATTTAACCATTAATATTAATGGAGTCAGATTTTTTTATTCTGTCACTTTACAGTTTTTAAAAAATCCTTCCATCACTAAATGCTGTTTCAGTACCGGAACTAACGTAGAGAGGACTCGGGTGGAAGAATTCCCCCACCACCACAACCATCACAAGGCTGGACAAAAGGTAGACTCCCATCTGTCGTACAACACCCACAATGCTTTGTCAGCTGGGGATCTACCATTTGCCCATCCTTGCAGGATTCTATTTACCCTTGAGCAGTGTTTGTGCGTTTTAATGTATCTATTTAATATATGCATATATGTAGTGTTGACGTTTAAATGCAGGGGTGTTTTTGTGTGTAGTGTTGGTGTTTGAATGCTGAGATGTATGCACATATACACATACACTACCACACACATACACACACACCAACATACATGCAGATACACAGACACACAGAGGGTCGATACTAAGGTCACGGACGCCTGGGTGCAATAATATTTTTGGCAGCCCCAGGTGTGGCTATCTCAATAGCTCCTCTGTTTCACAAACATACCCTTTCTAATTACACCCATTTTCTATGGAAACCACTCCATCTCTTTGGGCCCCCCAAACTTCACCAGGTAACATGTCACCAACTTCCTACAGTGCCAACTTTGCCCCCAAAAAGCTTATCAGTACCACCTTTATGCCCAGCTTCCCAGTGGCATAAGAGCTACATTTTGTTAGGGGCTGTAGTAGTCATCAGACTGTAGGCTGTTGGTCTGGTGACTATAGTGACCCTTTAATGATTTATTTATTTTGAATGCTGGCTACATTGTCCAGTGGTGGCTATAGGTGTAGTGTCAGTCTAACATCTATGATTAAGTCCAGAATAAGGTATGAAACATGAGATATGAAGGGAGCTCTGGTTTGCTACTTGACCTGGAAATACAAACTTGTAAGTGCTTGGTTGAATTATTTCTTTATGGTTTGTTTGCATTTAGTGTGATGTAACCACACTATCTGGGGTTCCTAAGGTTCAAACTGAATTTTAAAAACTCTGTGGCTTGGTAGTATGAGTATGAGGTGGTATCTGGCACCAATATATTAGATTAGATCATGCAGATTACATGACCACCTACACTACTACACTACCTACATGACCACCTACTACTGATAAGTCCACGTAGACTGACCAGCCACAACATTAAAACCATTGACAGGTGAATTGAATAACATTAATTTTATCCTTACAATGGCACCTCTTAAGGGGTGGGATATAATAGGCAGCTACTGAACAGTCAGTTCAGGAATTTCATGTGTTGGAAGTAGGAAAAATGGGAAAGTGAAAATATCCGAGTAACTTTGAATAGGGACAAATATTGATGGCTAGACGACTGGGTCAGAGCATCTCCAAAATAACAAGTCTTGTGGGGTGTTCCTGGTATGCAGAGCTTAGCACCTACCAAAAGTGGTGCAAGGAAGGACAACCTGTGAACCAGCATCAGGATCATAGGCCCTCAAGGCTGACTGATGCGCATGTCAATGTTGTTCAGTGATGGCAGTGGCCTCTTTCAGAAGGATATTGCACCTTGCCACAATGCAAAAATTATTAAGGAATGGTTTGAGGAACATGACAGAGTTCAAGGTGTTGCCTTGGCCTCCAATCCAATTATGCATCTGTGGGATTTGCTGGAACAACAAATCAAATCAATGGGGGACCCACCTCTTGCACCAACTTGCAGGACTTAGAGTATCTGCTTCTACTGTCTTGGTGCCAGATACCACAGGACACGTTCAGAGGTCTTGTGGAGTAAAAGCCTTGATCACTCAGAGCTGTTTTGGCAGCAAAAGGCGGACCTACGCATTATTGGGCAGAAGGTTTTAATGTGCTGACTGATCAGTGTATAAGGCACAGGGCACCTTGATCCAAAGCTACAAGGTATCATAAGGACAATTTGTTCAATGCGGAAATACACCATGCCACTGGACTTCAATAAACCTCCTATGATTAGATGAAAAGATGGTACACCCTCACATGTTGCTTTTGTTTAGTGTATACAAATAATTCTGTTTAATAAAAAAAATATTAAAACTTTTATACAATTAGGCACCACCTTATACTTTTGTGCTTTTTTTTCTTCTGTAGTCAGATGATGTTGGAAGATTTCCAGATGTTTGAATTCTAGGCACGTGGCACCATTTTCAATCTCAAAAGGTTTTGTAAGCTGTCATTCTCAACACGCATAGTGGTAGTGAATTCTGCCTTGTCAGAGTTTCCTTAAGAGCCACATATTTTGTCTTTGTTATAGATTTTTTTTTTTTTTAAACAGCATGATTCTTCAGATACACGAAAACTAAAAAGCGAAGTTTGTGTCATCTGCAACCTATACTGTGTCAGATTCACCTGGATCGTTGCCAACAACAAAAAAAGTTCTCCACCTTTTTCATTTTTACTTCTCAGAATTCTTTTCTGCAGGCTGCACAGAATTAGAAATGCAAACAGGGTTCTTTCAAACTTGCAGGTGTTAGTGATCGTTCTTGGAAATATTTTAGAACGCAAATGTTCAAAAGTTTTAGTTTTTTTTAATTCTTCTAAGAAATGACTAGAATATTGCATTCGCCCCGTCAATATGTCATTCCCTGATATGTGAACTGTAACTTCAACTCTCCTTCTGAACTACTGACATCCTCTGATCCTAAACAGAAGCAAAGAGCCCAAAATGTAAATGTTCATATACCCATTACCCTTGTCTACTGTAATAACCCATTTTTTATCATGGTGGTTATGGTAACCAGATGTTGATTTGGTCTTTCTAATATGTGTTTTAAAAATGTAAAAAAAAAACTCAGCCATGTGACATAAAGGGTTTCATTAAATTAGATGTCCAACTGTCCCTTAAAATTGCCATTATAAGATATTTTGAAAACTTCTGAATTACAGCTCTGTCGAGTGGCAAGAATTAGACCACAGCTACTGAATTTTCCAAAATATGGTCTAAAAAGGTCAAGTAGTTCACTGTATAATATTCTACCCCTAGGAGTTGTGATTATGACTAGGTCAGGATTACTAGTTAATCCAGCACGTAGAACTGTATCACACCTAGGATCAAAGGTAACGTCTTACCGTGCCTTAGAATGGCCGGACTTAACGTACCAGTCAGAATACTTTCCGAGGTTGGGGACACAGAATGAGACACAACGATGAGGGAAAGCCAAAAGTCAGGGATACCAGAATACAGGGAAGTCAAAACAAAGCCAAAGTCAATAACCAGAAATAAACGCTCAGGAACACACTCTCTGACAACCACTAAGGGAAACCACGACGGGGCAATGAGTAAAAGGAAAAAAGGAGTTTAAATAAGCCAGATCCGATTGGCAGTACCCGGCCTTTGACCCCAGAACGTGCATGCGCATCCTTTACGTGACGTCACACACATGTCGACGTCGTCAATATCGTGGGCGGCCTTCAGGTTACATATTGGTGTGGATCAACAGCGGCCGGTGTCCATGAAGATGTTCTAGGAGTCAGACAATTGCCGCATGGCAGTTGAACGGCACTTCCACATTTGTCAGCAAGGCAACTACTGCAAATACCGCAAGGTGAGCCTAAATATGTTACACCCTGTCTTTCTGGACTGTATGTATTTTTTACAAGTAGTCATTTTTCCTACCTGTGTTTCCTATTGATTGATCCAATGATAGATCTGACTGCCATTGTGGGATCAAGAATGATTTCTTTTCATAGTTGGTTGAAAAATTGATGCTCTTCAGACTGGGTTTTTTTTTTTTTTGCCTTCTTTTGGATCAACAGCAAAAACAAATGTAAGAAAGGCTGAACTTGATGGATGCAAGTCTCTTTTCAGCCTATCTAGGTATGTTTTTTATTCCATTCATTGCTTATCTTGGTGTTAGCTACTTTAGACTTTAGCCTGATTAGAAATACGGCTGCGCCCATGTGGTCCACGGGTATATCAGGATTATTTGTTGTTTCTCTGGCAAGTTTGTATACTCACTGGAAATACGTTATTTTATTTGTAGTTGTAGAATAAATTAAAGCATGTTAAGCACATTTAGCGCTACTTCAGATTGACTACCTACTACAGGAAGCTCGGGAAACACCGCAGGGCACAGTGGAAGAAGACAAATATTTTTCAGCGCATTTGACCTTATAAACTGCATAGTTATTTTTGCTCTATTTTGACTGAACCTGTTGAGTTACAAAGTGGAACATAGTAAATGCATTCTATTTTGGTTCATAGCCAGGGGTTAAGCCCCAAGCTATGGGAGCGGGACATTCCAGCTCTGGGAGTTATTGGTCCACACGCTCCACTTTCCTTTTATATTTGAAGAATGATCTGTCATTTGTTTTTACCCAAGAGCTTAAAAGACTTAGCAAATGCGAGAAAACATTCAGTGCCTTAAAACAAATCAGTAGGTAAGCCATCATTGAAAATCAATTTCTGATATAGCTAATAATAACAACATAAGATTAACTCAAGATTAACTAAGTTAAAGGACCACTATAGTGCCAGGAAAACATACTCGTTTTCCTGGCACTATAGTGCCCTGAGGGTGCCCCCACCCTCAGGGACCCCCTCCCGCCCGGCTCTTGAAGGGGGAAAGGGGTAAAAACTTACCTTTTTCCAGCGCTGGGCGGGAGCTCTCCTCCGATCCACCCCGTCGGCTGAATGTGCACGCGCGGCAAGAGCTGTGCGCGCATTCAGCCGGTCGCATAGGAAAGCATTATCAATGCTTTCCTATGGACGCTGGCGTGCTCTCACTGTGAAATTCACAGTGAGAAGCACGCAAGCGCCTCTAGCGGCTGTCAAAGAGACAGCCGCTAGAGGCTTTGGGGGAAGGCTTAACCCATTGATAAACATAGCAGTTTCTCTGAAACTGCTATGATTATAAAATAATGGGTTAACCCTAGCTGGACCTGGCACCCAGACCACTTCATTAAGCTGAAGTGGTCTGGGTGCCTAGAGTGGTCCTTTAAGATTAGTGATTTTCTTCCGATTCCTTTTGGTGGATATCATCACACTGTATTGCAAAACATTTAATATGATTGATACTAGAGGAAACTAGACACTGCTTCTCATCCTCGTAATGCCATCCCAACAGTAAAGCTTGGTGGTGGTAGCATAATACTCTGGGGGTGTTTTTCAGCAGCCGAGACAAGGCGACTGGTTAAGGCTGAGGGCATGCTGAGCACAGTAGAGGTAATCTTAATGAAAACCTGGTCTGAATACTCACTTTCCAACAGGACATTGACCCTAAGCACACAGCCAAGTCAACGCAAGAGTGGCATAAGGGACAATTCTGTGAATGTTTGTATCTCTTAGGGGAACACCCCCCTGTAAATATATATTTTCGTTACTTGTAAATAGTTTAGTTGATTGACCATATTACTTAGCTAGATACCAATTTCGTCTAAATTACATCAATATTTTTTAAAAATTATTTTTAGGTTAAGGTTAAGTTTTAATTTTACTGATATCATTTTGGTCAGGGCAACTTTTCTTTTTTATTTGTTAATTTACCCGGGTTCGTGCCCTTTTCGGCCCTCTGACCACAGACATTTCTACTCCTACGTCTTGTTATCATAAATCTCTGGAGTAAAGGAAAATGGCTGTCCACTGATGGTCCCCATCCAACCTGACAGAAATTCAGAGGACCTGTAAAGATGAATGAAAATTTTTTATATAATGAATTAAGATAATGGAATATGTATGTTTTTTTTTTTATTGAAAACCAATAAAATTTATTTTAAAAAAAAAGCAAAAAACTCTTGACCGTGCAAATACTTTGTGCACAAAAATTTTAAAAAATCATGTTTCCCCAACTATCCCAGAGTTCTCAGCTTGGTATGCAAATGAGCGCAGAGATGCATGATGTTTCAGACTTCATATATATATATATATAATTTATTTTTAAATTCGTTCACTGCTTTTAATTTGAAGTTAAATCAAATGAAACATTTCTAGAAAACCTGGATGATTGTTTTCTTCTACTTTTATCTAGAAGTTCTGGCTTCAAGTATTGTTCACAAAAGTGTAAAAAGAAGGTGAATTTAGTGACAATAGAAGAAAAAGGTGAGCCCAGTATTTGGTGCATTAATGGCGTATAAGTAATTAATAATTAATGCATGGCCTTGTCAATTCAGCCTTAGATTCTCCAATTAATCCTCTCCAAAGAAGGAGAAACATATATCCAAAATGGGGGAGGGTTAATGTGACTGGGTGTGGCATGGTTGAGGGCGGGGGGATTGAGTGTCACAGGGCTGGGGTGAATGTGGCATGGTTGGAGGAAGGAGTGTGACAGAATTATGGGGCGCTATTGTGACAGGGTGTTTAAACTCTCGATTTAAGCCAGGGACCTCCTTGCACCATAACAACTAGGGATCGACCGATTATCGGTCTGGCCGATATTATCGGCCGATATTTGGTATTTTCGGCAATATCGGTATCGGCCAATTCAGATACCGATATTGCCGATAATATATAACAGGACCGCCGGGCCCATTACAAGCCCGGCGGTCCTGTGGGGGCCAGCCGCAAGCGCTGACTTACCTTGCATGCAGCTCCCTGTGTAAATCTCGCGAGACCCGCGGCCGCAGAGCGTTGCCACGGGTTACCATGGCAACGCTCCGCGCGGCACTAAGAGCCGCGAGATTTACACAGGGAGCTGTAGGAGCTGCTTGCAAGGTAAGTCAGCGCTTGCTGCTGCTGAGCCACCACTGTACTTAACAAGCCACTGGACCACCAGGGGATACTATATCCCCCTCCCTGGTAAAAAGCAGGGAGGGGGGACTAAACAAAAAAAACCAAACATTTAAATATTAAAAAAAATATTAAAATAAAAAATTACACAAATTACATCACTACACAAACACACACACACACAAACACATACTGCATTACATACACACTACACAAACACACACTACACAAACACACACTGGGGGGGGACTAAACAAAAAAAACATTTAAATATTAAAAAAAATATTAAAATAAAAAATTACACAAATTACATCACTACACAAACACACACACACTACACAAACACACACTGCACACATACTGCATTACATACACACACACTGCATTACATACACACTACACAGGCACACACACTGCATTACATACACACACTACACAGACAGACACACTACACACACACCACAAACACACACTGCATTACAGACACACACTGCACACACTACACTGCACACACACTGCATTACATACACACTACACAAACACAGTACACATACTGCATTACATACACACTGCATTACATACACACTACACATACACACACACTGCATTACATACACACTACACAAACACACACTGCATTACATACATACACACACTACATAAACACACTGCATTATATACACACTACACACACTGCATTATATACACACTACATTCATTATACACACACTACACAAACACACACCCTGCATCCACTACACACACACACACACACACACACACTACACAAACACACACAGTTCCCCTGACTAAACACACTTCATCCACTACATGTGGCATGTATATTTTGTGCATTTACCTTTCGAATTAGTTTATTTATTCAAAATAGTAAATGTACTGCATTACATACACACTACACAAACACACACTACACAAACACACACTGGGGGGGACTAAACAAAAAAAACATTTAAATATTAAAAAAAATATTAAAATAAAAAATTACACAAATTACATCACTACACAAACACACACACACTGCACACATACTGCATTACATACACACACACTGCATTACATACACACTACACAGGCACACACACTGCATTACATACACACACTACACAGACAGACACACTACACACACACCACAAACACATACTGCATTACAGACACACACTGCACACACTACACTGCACACACACTGCATTACATACACACTACACAAACACAGTACACATACTGCATTACATACACACACACTGCATTACATACACACTACACATACACACACACTGCATTACATACACACTACACAAACACACACTGCATTACATACATACACACACTACATAAACACACTGCATTATATACACACTACACACACTGCATTATATACACACTACATTCATTATACACACACTACACAAACACACACCCTGCATCCACTACACACACACACACACTACACAAACACACACAGTTCCCCTGTCTAAACACACTTCATCCACTACATGTGGCATGTATATTTTGTGCATTTACCTTTCGAATTAGTTTATTTATTCAAAATAGTAAATGTACAGAATATCGGCAAGATATCGGCTATCGGCCTGAAAGTTCGCAGATTATCGGTATCGGTATCGGCTCTAAAAAATCAATATCGGTCTATCCCTAATAACAACTTCTTCGAGATAAAATTATTATGGTGATCTGAGTGTTGCTTTAACCCCTTAAGGACACATGACATGTGTGACATGTCATGATTCCCTTTTATTCCAGAAGTTTAAAAGAGAAGCCTCCTGCACCCAAAAGGTAGGAAACAGGAAGGTGGCTTAAAATGTGTACATTTCGCCTGTATGTGTGTCTGTATGTTTATTGTTGTCTGTATCTGTATGTTTGTAAGGGTATGTGTGTCTGTCTGTGTGAATATATGTCTGCATGTCTGTGTGTCAGTGTATCTATCTGTGTCTGTAAATCAGTGTGTTAATGTGTGCCTCTGTGTATCTTTGTTTGTCAGTGTATCTGTATGTGTGTCAGAATTTGCATGAGTGTCATTGTGTGTATCTAAGTGACTGTGTATCTGCATCCCATTGTACAGTGCTACGGAATCTGATGGCGCTATATAAATAATAAAATAATAATAATACTAATACTAATAATAATAATATGTGTCACGTGTGTGTGTTTGTGTATCTGTATGCACTGGTGTACATATCGCGGTCGCAGGGGTTGCAGCTGCGACTGGGCCCGTCATTCCAGGGGCCCCGGCTGCCCTGTGGACCCCTGCGACCAGGTTCCCGCCATCTTCATCTGCGGCCAGGCCCACACGGCAAACCGCCTGGACCGCATTTTAAGGGGTCGAACGGGTGGCCCATGCTGTCAGGGTCACCCGATGGATATGGATTGTCAGGGGGGCCCGGGAAGCGCTGAGCGCTTTAACAGTGCGACTACACGTCACTCCTCCCAGCAATCAGACAGAGCCCGTGCGGGAGGAAGGAGGAGGGAGTCAGAGTGGGAACTCTAAGTCCCATCCACCTGAGCCACCACTGGACCCCAAGTCACCTAAAAGGTAGGAAACAGGAGGATGACTTAAACATTTTGTGTGTGTGCGTGTGTGTGTGTTTGTATGTATGTGTATGCGTGCCTGTCTGTTTGTATGTATGTGTCTGTGTGTGTGTGCCTGTTTGTGTGTGTGTCAGTCTGTATGTATGTGTCTGTTTGTATGTATGTGTGTGTGTCTGTATGTATCTGTCTGTATGTGTATATGTGTGTGTGTGTGTGTCTGTCGGGGGAGGGGAGTGAGGGGGATGGGGGGGGCTACGGATCGGTTTTGCATCGGGTTGTGGATTGTGTGTACGCCACTATATAGTTACATAGCTGAAAAGAGACTTGTGTCCATCAAGTTCAGCCTTCCTCACATTTGTTTTTTTGCTGTTGATCCAAAAGAAGGATGTGTTAATTTGCATGTGTGTCAGTGTGTGTCTGTGTATCTTCTTGTCTGTACCTGTGTGTCTGTGTGTGTACCTGGTCCCAGTGTATCTACATGTGTGTGTATCTGTGTTTTTGGATATGTATATATGTGTGTATGTGGCAGTGCATATGTGCACACATCTCAGCATTCAAACTCCAATACTAAACACAAATTCAAATGTCAACAGTGCATGCAAAAACACCCACTAAATAAAAGTAAGCCCCTGCTTTCAAATGGCAAAAGAACATAAAAACACTCAACACAACACTATAAACAAACACACCCACACACATATACTCAATACAAAAACATGCTTACATTCAAACATACAAACACTGCTCAGTGTTAAATTTAGCCCTACACCACGTGCACAACACTTACACCAGGCTAGACTACCTTTTTACCACGCACTACCATCTACCAGTAACTAACGCTGCAGAACATGGGGTGGCGACATGGTCAGACCATGCGCCGGTAACCCTAACACTCTCGTCCCCCCTGTACAGACCCCGGCACAACAAATGGAGGCTTAACGAATACCTCCTTACTAGGCCCGACTTCACGTCCGAGGTTAACGACACACTCAAAGAATACTTTGAGACGAACACAACCGAACACACCTCACCGACCATTAGATGGGAGGCACACAAGAGCGTGATACGAGGACACTTCATCCGCCAGGGGTCCACCCTTAAAAAGCAGACCGACAGCCGTCTAACTGACCTAGTGGCCGAAATACACAGGGTGGAAACACTCAACAAAAACACCCAACAAACGGCACACCAGGCGACACTACTACAACTCAGGCGGGACCTGACGAGCCTCTTACATAGGAAACACCACAGAGACGTAACCAGACATAAGGCCTTCTTCTTACTTCACGGCAATAAAAGCGGTAAGCTACTGGCCAGAATGCTAGCCAAACAGAGACAAAGGACGTACATTGATAAAATGAGGGACGGGCAGGGCACCCTACACCACCTACCCTCTAAAATCCTCCACATAACGCGGGATTACTACGCGAACCTATATGCCCTCCCTCGGCCCCCCCTAGACAGGGCGAGGGACAGCCTGCGGGAGAAAATACAAGCCTACCTGTCAGCCCACCCCCTCCCGTCCATAGATCAGGAAACCGCAGAAAGCCTAGACAAACCAATTACGATAGAGGAACTAGCTTATGCCATTAAAGTGACGAAACAAGGTAAAAGCCCCGGTCCGGACGGGCTCCCATTAAAGTATTATAAAACGTTCGCGGAACACCTATACCCCCCTCTCCTAGACGCCCTGAACGCACTAAGGGAAGGACACCACCTGCAAAAACAGTCACTGACCGCACACATCGCACTCATCCCGAAGAAAGGTAAGGACAGGGAACATTGTGGGAACTACAGGCCCATCTCACTTATCAACTGCGACGTCAAACTGTTGGCAAAGATACTGGCCACACGCCTCCAGACACACATCCCCACTTTAATACATCCAGACCAGTTGGCTTCGTCATGGGCCGCGAAGCAAGAGACAACACGATCAGGGCACTGACGCTCATGCACAGACGTAATTGCGGGGACGAGGGCGTTCTACTGCTGTCCACGGACGCAGAGAAGGCCTTCGACAGAGTCGACTGGCAATACATGTTCCACACACTGGCCCACACTGGGCTGGGACCGCACTTCCAGAGATGGGTCGAGGCGCTGTACGACGGGCCCACCGCCCACATTATGGTAAACGGAGCCCTGACGAGTGACTTCCCCATCACCAACAGCACGCGGCAGGGGTGCCCCTTATCACCCCTGCTTTTTGTGCTGACACTCGAACCCTTCCTGACGCACATACGACAGGACGCAGCAATCAGGGGCATTGGTCATGGAGACACACAACACAAAGTCGCGGCATACGCTGATGACCTCCTCTTCTTTATCACTAACCCGGAGGTCTCGCTCCCGAATATCCTGAAGGCCTTCAGGACCTTCGGGGAGATATCCAACCTCAAGATCAACTTCACAAAATCATACATCTTGAACGTTAGTATACCAGAACACAGAGCCTCCCCCTTAAAGCAGAGCCACACATTCCAATGGGCACAACATCAAATACAATACCTAGGCACATGGCTGACGAGGAGGGAACCCGATCTATTCAGACACAACTTCATCCCCCTACTAAACAGGTTCCGGAAAGACCAGTCGGATTGGGCATACCCACACATATCCTGGCTGGGCAGGGTCCAGGTTATAAAAATGAACCTGCTCCCACGCCTACTATACCTCATGCAAGCCCTACCCATTACCATCCCCAGATCATTCTTTCAGGCCCTGCGACAGGAAACCGGGAAATATATTTGGGACCGCAAAAGACCGAGGGTCAAACTAGCCGCACTGACGCTGCCCAAGGACAGGGGGGGACTGGCCATACCAGACTTCTCCCTGTACTACGAATCCTGCCACCTCCAACGAATTATGGAGTGGACAAAAGAGAAGGTGCATAAGAAATGTAAAGAGGCAGAGGAAACGGATGCGGGGATACCGCTGTCCATCGTCCCATGGCTGGGGAGGGGAGGGAGCGGGAGACAGGGCACACCCTATACAACCGCAACCCTACGGGCATGGGAGAGAGTAGCACAGAGATGCAGACTAGCGCCATTCCCATCCCCCCTTCTCCCTCTCACGCATAACGACAGCTTCCCACCGGGGCTAGACCCCAACGCATTCAGGGACTTAATCCGACATAAACTACCCAGACTACACCACCTCCTGGCAGGCACGGAATGCAAAACACTCCCGACCCTATTAGAGGGAGCAACCCCCACCCTCCTACACCACCTAAAACACAGACAGCTACAGAGCTATGTACACACCCTCCCGGGGGGCACGGCACGGAAACGTGATCCTACCACATTTGAAAGAATGTGCATGGACCCAGACCCGCAACCACACGGGATCTCACTCATTTACTCCATGCTACAGAGGGAAACACCAACGGAGAAACCCAAATTCATGGGGAGATGGGAACAAACATTGGGGAAAACTTTCACAGACGGGGACTGGGAAAAGATATGCTACTTAACGCATCACTGCTCAGTCTTCAGCAAAACACAAGAAACAGCGTTTAAATTGTTAACGAACTGGTACCGCACCCCGATTGCACTCCATGCCATGGACCCAGAACACACGGATCTCTGCTGGAGGTGTAATAGAGAGGCCGGCACAGTACTCCACCTTTGGTGGGCCTGTGAAGCCATAAAGCCCTTCTGGCGGGGTATACACGGCTTTCTCAAAACCTTCTCAGACACGCCACCCCCCTTCCTCCCAGAACACATGCTCCTTCACCATACAAAGTCACCTAGAACGAGATACAAGCACTCACTAACCATTAGAATCCTAAACGTTGCCAAACAGGTGATCCCTCAATTCTGGAAGCAACAAACGACAACCCCGTTGACATCCTGGTTCTCCCAAATGGAGGAACTCAGAGCCATAGAGGAACTCATTATGACCACACCCAACTCCTTGAATAGGTACACGGACATATGGACCCACTGGATACTGACTACTACCAAGGCAGAATTCACAACCAGGCTCCAATACGACACATAAGGACACAGTGACGAAGCCGCATAGACCGACAAATACAGAGACGACCTAGACAGACGTGACCCAGACGCGGACGCACCCGGACCCCCCCACCTCCCAGACGCCACTACCCGGACACCCCCCCCAATCCCAAACACTGAGTGCGAACAGACAGGCACTTGGCATACGCCAATGACAACATAAGAGAAGATTTATAAGGCCTCCGGGAAGACGCTCACTCCTCCATGAGGGGACAACAGAACATATGACACCCACGTGCACATTCTCCAGATCAGGCCACGGGACTTAACGCTGGGCCAGCGGACCCACCCTGACACCTTAGCGTTTACTAGAGGTAATACCTGACCGCCTTACTGCAACGAGACTCACGGGCCCGACACCCGACTATAACACCCGCTACATTGTGACCGGCACGTCACCAATGCTGGTTTTGCAGACCGTCATTCCTTTCCAAAGGCTGCTCATGTCCCACCCTAAGTGGACCTGCGAGTTCACACTGAAGTTTGCATAATGTGACTTAACAAACGGAGCAACTGAATGCAAACGTTACATCAGCTTAGGGACAAGAACAGTATGCTGTAAGGGACCTGCGAGTCCACCGCAATTGTGGGCCTGCGCGCCCGGTTGGCCGTTATAAAAAAGCTATGCACATGTTGTACTTTGGTTATTGTGCCCTAAAGGCTTACGGAGACCTGCGAGTCTCAATGTGACTTATTCTCGACAATATAAACTGAAATAAAAACATATTTACAAAAAAAAAAAAAATTTTGCCCTACAAGGATGGTCAAATAGTAGATCCCCAGCAGGCAAAGCATTATGCTTAGTTGTGTTTCAGATGTGGATCTAACTTTTTTGCCATCCTTGGACAGTGGCGCCCAAAAAAATTGCCACTGGTCACTAGGGCTATATAAATAATGTGATTCAATTCCTAAATGATAGAGTATTGAGCAGTAAAACCCATCTCACTCATCAAGCCACTCTAAGAGTTCAGGATTAGTCAGAATCCCCACTGGAAATGGGCTGGGAAATGTCTAAATTCAAGACTGTTGGTACGCCTTGAGGACTAGTATGGTTGGATTACTACCTTAGTGGACGCATTAAAATTGCTGACATATACGCTTTAAAGGGACACTATAGTCACCAAAACAACTTTAGCTTAATGAAGCAGTTTTGGTGTATAGAACATGGCCCTCCAGCCTCACTGCTCAATTCTCTGCTATTTAGGAGTTAAATCACTTTGATTATGAACCCTAGCCACAACTCCCTGCATATGACTTGCACAGCCTTCCTAAACACTTCCTGTAAAGAGTCATCTACAGTTTATCCTTTCTTTAAGTTCTGTTTAATTTATATTTTCTTATCCCCTGCTAATAGCTTGCTAGACCCTGCAATAGCCCCCTGTGTGTGATTAAAATTTAATTTACAGAGCAAGAGATAACATTGGTTAAGGTAAATTACATCTGATTGAAAGTGAAACAAGTGTTTTTTTGTTTCTTTTTTATCCAGGCTCTGTCAATCATAGCTAGGGGAGGTGTGGCAAGGGCTGCATAAACAGAAACAAAGTGATTTAACTCCTAAATGGCAGAGTATTGAGCAGTAAAACCTGAGAGGAATGATGTATACAATGTATACACTAAAACTGCTTCATTAAGCTAAAGTTGTTTAGGTGACTATATAGTGTCCCTTTAAGGGAATTAAAAAAAAAAAATGTTTTAATCAATCTGTGTTTTATTGTGGTATTAAGATTGTACATCAGCAAAATAAACCACATTTGTTATAAATATAGGTAGATGACATCAGCTTAAACAACACGCTTAAGAAACAAAATGAAAGTAGTACCTTCACAAATATGCTGATTAAACCTGACAATATAATTCAAAACACGAGCGGGGAGTTCTCCCTAGCGCTAAACAGGTCAGTGCCAAAGTGTTAAACAGGGAAAGCAATACCAGAAACAGATATATGCAGGCAAAGGCAAAGTTAGAGACAAAACTGCAATGTAGAAAATTGAGAGACTGATCTGGGCATGGGTGGGGGCCAGGGAGGAGGACAATAGCTCCCCCCCCCCCCTATTGTCATTTAAAGCCCACACTCATTACCCATGGGTGGGGGCCGGTGGGGGGACAATAGGTAATATGGTAAAATGAAAAAATAGGTATTTTGGGGCGACTAGGGGGACAATTAAATGTAGTAGAGTGACACTGCAGCCTTAAAGAAACAAATGGCTCAAAGAAATTTAATAAACAGAAACAACTCTATTATGCTTGTGGTTTCCTCTACCAGCCACAGATAGACTAAAATCAGCCTGTGCTTATAGCAGAGAATATGTGCCTAAATGTAGCCAAGACATTATTCCAGAACTCTTGTGGCTTATTCAGACGCAACTTTGCAAACCAAAGCCGTGTTGCCATGTTCTTTTTAGAGAGAACCGAGATCCAATCAAAACATAAATGAATTGATCATTCCACCATCACCAGGCTATATTTTCATCTGGGCTTAAAGCCCACTGATCTGGACTACTGGCACCTAAATAGGTGTTCCGAGAGGCTCTGGTAGGGCGCATAGATCTGCGTCAGAATGAGACCCTCCAGGTGTGTGAGCCATGCACAAGCGATATTCCCTTTAAGGCTCTTGGCCCAGGTAAATGGTGGTGAGGAAGAGATCTCCTAGAACGCTGTAAAGCTGAGACCCCCTCTCCTTGAGCTTGCTTCAAGTGTAGCCAAGACCACGTTGATGCATCTTGGCCCAGAAGCAAGAACATCAAAAGCACATACTTGTAAGGAGTTAGGGAGCGCTGTAGAGCTGGCTTACATTTGGCAGCAATTTTGGGAGGACTAGTCCCCACACGAGGTGCTGGTGAATCGGCAACTGTCTCGCAAATGAAATAGAAAGGTTCCCATGTGAGGACCAGAATATCCCCACTGGGCCTAAGGGGGACATAATGGAGCCTACTGGAAGGCAGGATCCCGGTGAGCAAAGGGAATTGGCTGCTTCCGCTGCCTCGAGCAGGTCTCAGTCGGATAATCCGGAAGAAACTCCTAGCGATTCTAGAACACAATCCAAAAATAGTACCAGGGTGTTCCCCAGGCAAGAAAAGTAAATTGGGCCCTGGAACTAACTGTAAATTTAAAGTAATAAGCTTAACTACAAAGAATATATCAAGAGCTCCTGCAACCTGCTTCTGGCTTGCTCTGCAGTCAATCCCCACTAAAGCGCTGTGGATAAGTTGGCGCTAAATAGATGACAATAATATATATTATAAATACACTGATCAGCCACAACATAAAAAAACAGATGCTCAATCAGATTGACATTTGGAGGCCAAGGCATTACCGTGAACTCTTTGTCATGTTCCCCATACCATTCCTGAACAATCATTGCAGTGTGGGAGGGTGCATGATCTTTCTGAAAAAGGCCACCATCGCCATGAAGGGGTATATGTGGTCTGCAACAATCTCTAGGTAGGTAGTATGTGTCAAAGTAATATCCACATGAATGCCAGGACCCAAGGTTTTCCACCAGAACATTGCCCAAAGCATAACACTGCCTCTGATGGCCTACCTACTTCCCACAGTGCATCCTGTTGCCAAATCTTCTCAAGGTAAATGACGCACATGCACCCAGTCATCCTGATCTAAAAGAAAACACGATTCAACAGAACAGGCAACTTTCTTCCATTGCTCCATGGTCCAATTCTGATGCTGACGTCCCCATTAAAGGTGCTTTCAGTGGTGGACAGGGATCATCATGGGCACTCTGACCGGCCTGCAGCTGAACAGTCCTGTACACGACAAACTTTGATGCACTGTGTGTTCTGACACCTCTCTACCATGGCCAGCCTTAAGTTTTTTAGCCATATGAGCTATAGTAGCTCTTCTGTGTGATTGGACCAGACGGGTTAGCCTTCACTCCCCACGTGCATCAATGAGCCTTGGGTGCTCATGATTCTGTAGCCAGTTGTCCCTACATACACCATTTCTGGTAGGTACTAACCAGGGCCAGGCTGGGAAAAAAATTTGGCCAGGGAATTTTTAAATCACAGCGGCCCACTGAAATAGGGGTGGGGCCATATAGGGTGTGTTTTGTCATCCCCAAATGAGCATGTTGGTTCACTGCTCTTCCAGGACAGACCATACGCAGACTTCTGCTGAAGAGCTCTAGCATGAGAAAAAAGCTCTGTATTTGTTCTGCACAGCACAAGAAAATTTTATAGCATGCTTGCGTTGTGTTTGCTTGAAACTTGTTTCTGGTGTCTCCAAAAATGGGATACCAGGAGACAAAAATGTCAGGAAAGAGTACTGTGCATGTGCTTGGAGCCAGCTTATGGGATTGCGTGTGTGTAGAGTGAGCTGTCTGTGGTGTAGTTGTGTTAATAGGTTGGTTTCAGTCATGTTGTGTTTGTGGTGTAATGTAATGTATGTGTGTATAGGTGTTGTAGAAAGTGTCTGTATAGGGGGCATAGTGTGTCTAGGAGATGTAGCGAG